CCCAGGTGCACCATTCTTATTCCAGGATTGATTATTTTTTTATTGACAGAACTCTTAATTCGTGTGTTAAATTTTCTGACTATTCCGGTATTGTAATATCTGATCATTCACCTCTACTATTGGATATTCAGCTCTCTACCTATAAACGTACCTCACCATTTTGGAGATTTAACTCTCTCCTTCTGGCGGATAAAGAATTTTGTGAATTCATTTCAAGTTCTATTGAGGAGTTCTTGTTCTTTAATCAAAATGATTCAGTTTCATATTCATTGCTATGGGAGACACTTAAGTGCTTCCTGAGGGGTCAAATTATTTCGTATTCTGTTCTTGCCAATAAGAAGACTAATGCTAGGCTTAAAGAACTTACAGCTGCGATTAGTAACCTTGATCAAAGTTATACACTGAACCCTTCTCCAGAATTACTGAAGCAGCGTCTTGATTTGCAAGCAGAATTCAATCTTTTGTCAACTAAAGAGGCAGAGCGCTTGTTATTGCGCAGTCGTGGCTCATATTATGAATGTGGGGACAAGGCAAGTCGCTTGTTGGCACATCAGCTACGACGTCAAGCCACTTCACGCTTAATACCTAGTATTAAAAACACTTCTGGCTCTATTACTACAGATCCCTTGGAAATTAATTCTACTTTTAAAACATTTTACTCTTTGCTATACAAGTCTGAATTTCCTACGGACAAAGCGAACATGTACCAATTACTTCATGATCTTTTGAACCCGGTTATCAATAATAATGTTGCTGTGCAATTGGATTCCCCACTTTCCGTTGAAGAAGTATTAAAAGCTATCTCAGCCATGCAGTCTAATAGAGCCCCAGGCCCTGATGGGTTTCCAATTGAATTTTATAAAGCATTTATTGGTAAATTGACACCATTGCTTTTATCTGTGTTCAATGAATCCTTGGAAAGGGGTTCATTACCACCAACTTTCACACAAGCCACTATAGCACTCCTTCTCAAAAATGACAAAGATCCAACCTCCTGTGGTTCCTACAGACCATTGTCTCTGCTTAATGCTGATGCAAAGGTGTTGTCTAAGGTAATTGCATCTCGCCTAGAGGATGTGCTTCCTTATATTATATCAGAAGAGCAAAATGGTTTTATAAAGGGACGTCAATTGTTTTTTAATACCCGTACACTCTTTGATATTATTTACTCAAAACACCCATCTGATCTCCCTGAACTTGTGATTTCTTTAGATGCTGAAAAGGCTTTTGATAGGGTGGAGTGGGAGTATTTGTTTGCAGTTTTAAAGAAATTTGGATTTGGTGAGAAACTTATTTCTTGGATTCGGCTCCTGCATTCGTCCCCTAAAGCCAGTGTTCATACTAATGATGTTTATTCTGATTATTTTGCTCTGGGTCGTGGTTGTCGTCAAGGTTGCCCTTTGTCACCTTTACTCTTTGCTATTGTTATCGAGCCTCTGTCTATCACATTGAGATCTTCTTCTGTATTCAAGGGAATCATCCGTAATGGAATTGAACATAAAGTATCATTGTATGCGGATGATTTGTTATTATATATAACTGATCCTATGCACTCTATCCCTGCTGTTTTAGGTATTCTGGAGAATTTCAGCTCGTTTTCAGGTTACAAATTAAACTTGGGGAAAAGTGAGTGTTTTCCCATTAATACGGCAGCATGTCATCTTCAACAGTCCGATCTACCTTTTCACCTCAGCCCATCAGGGTTTAAATACCTGGGGATTAACGTGACTCGTTCTATATCTGGCCTTAAATCAGCTAATTTTACTCCCCTTATATCAAGGATTTCTTCCGATATTCAAAGATGGGGTAATCTTCCCCTCTCATTAATCGGTAAGATTAACGTTGTTAAAATGAATATTTTACCAAAATTTCTATTTTTATTTCAGTCGATTCCCTTATTTTTACCAAAACATTTTTTTGTCTCTTTGGATAAGATTATTGGTTCGTTCATTTGGGGAGGGAAGCCACCTAGGGTTCGTAAAACTTTACTGCAAAGATGCAGATTTAGTGGGGGACTTGCATTACCTAATTTTCTAGCTTACTACTGGGCTGCACATATCCATAAACTTTGCTATTGGCTGAAATCTTCCGGTTCTTCTTGGTGTAAATTGGAGTTATTATCCTGTAAGGGATCTTCTATACCGGCTCTACTCTATTCATCTTTACCTATAAAACCCTCTATGTACACTGATAATCAGGTGGTACTCAACACACTTAAGATCTGGTTTCAGTTTAGACGGCACTTTAAATTTGTAATGGCATCCTCCTCAGGTCCTCTAAACGACAACCATTTGTTTCCTCCATCACTCCTGGACTCGTCATTCTTAGTGTGGTGTGATAAGCGGATTATACAATTTAAACATTTATACGTGGATGGTGTTTTCAATAGTTTTGCCAATTTGTCTTCTCGTTATGGTCTCCCTATTTCCCATTTGTTTCGTTATTTTCAAATTCGAGATTTTGTTTCCAAGTGTTTCCCTAATTTCCCCTCTTTACCTCCAGAACAGCAGTGGGAAGCTATGTTACAATTTATTCCTTACCATAGGGGAACCATTTCGAAACTCTATGATATTATTCTGTCTTTTAGTAACCACTCAGATGTTAAGCTTAAGTGTACATGGGAAGGGGAACTAGGAATTCAAATACATGAGGAGTCCTGGGAACAGGCTATAGTGAGGGTACGGTCTACCACTTCTTGTGCTCGTCTTGGACTTATTCAATTCAAGGTCATATATAGGGCACATTTTTCTAAGTCTAGACTTTCTTTATTGTATCCGGAAGTGGAAGACAAATGTGATAAATGTCATAGCTCTCCCTGTCATCTTAGTCACATGTTTTTTCTGTGTCCTGAGCTGGAAGGTTTCTGGACAGGTTATTTTGCTATTTTGTCAGCTGTTCTTGGGGTAACTCTCCAACCTTGTCCTCTAATTGCCATATTTGGGATTCCAGATCCCTCACTTACACTTAATTCTATACAAAAGGATATCATAGCTTTCACATCCTTATTAGCGAGACGTTTACTATTGTTGCATTGGAAGTCAGCTAAATATCCTTCTATTTCCCAGTGGCTTAAGGATGTCATGTTTTTTTTTAAAACTTGAAAAAATTAAATACACGTTGAGAGGATGTACAGCCAAATTTTTCCACAAATGGCAACCCTTTATTTCCTATTTTAGTAGCTTAGAGGTTTTGCCTGATTGAATGTATGCCTTTGATGGTTATATTTGTGTAATATGTTGGTTGGTTGTGCTGAGCTGAGTGGGGGGGGGGGGCTTCTCTATTTTTTTTAATTTTTATTTTTTTTCTCTCTTTCTTCTCTCTGTGTGTTTTTGTTTATTCATAAATATATTTAGTTTGGGAAATGTAGGAAGGTAAATTGTATTTTTGTAAGTGCAAACACTGTATTTTTGTGTATATTTTTTTATGCTTTCCTCAATAAAAATATTTGACAAAAAAAAAAGAAATGCCCGTAACTTAGAAATACATGTACAGTACAACTTACATGTACATGTGTACACATACAAACTACATGACATTTACCACAGGTAACAAGCTTCATTCAGCTTTTGAAAATGTGCATCTCTAACAATACAACGCTTTTCTTTACTCTTCCAAATATCACCTATATGATATATAACCTTGTTATCATATACCGTAGACTTAGTCACTTCAAAATCGTCTGCAACAACTCTGTGTGATTTTCCTTGTTGTATCTCTGTAATGATATCGAGCTTCTTTTGGAGGGACATGACACTATGCTTCCTTTTTAAAGCCATGGATTTTGCATAGCTGGTGGTTGTATAAGATTAATTTTCACATGCACGTGTCTAGAGTTGCCCGGTAGAGGAAGATGCCCGTATATTGGAGGTCCGGATGAGGGAGGTTTGACTGTACTAGTATATGGTGATCTGATACCTTTTCTCGTGAATAAACAGTCATAAAAAGAAATCTGCTACTATTTTGGATTTTTTGGAGGGTACTTTGTTATGGATGAAAAGTATGAGGCATATCTAAGAGGTTGAGTCAAAACTGCATCAAATAATATAAAAAAATATATCTAAGGTTTAAATTTTGACATAATGTTTCGTTTTGTTTTACACCAGTCATTGGTGGCTTGTTAAGAGTATTGACAGATAATCATTTACCTCCTTTTAAAATCAGCAGCATATTTAATCCCCACTTCGCTGTGTAGAATAATAGCTTAAACAACAAAAACAACATCAGGTTTAATGTAAATTGCATAAATAGTTCACTCACCAAGAAGTCGCATAATCAAGAACTGAATTCCTATTGCAAATGACTTTTCGTCATTGGGTACAGTTCTAAATCAGGAGAAGTCAGAATGAAGTTAGCAAAAACATACTGTCTGCAGCATATTGAGAAACCTCCTGTTTAAAAGCCATTATTTGGGTGAGGAGCGTACTTCTTACCTGAGCACCATCATGTACACAGGGTTGTGGGATAGACTAGCGATGAGGCCAGCGACAGAAATAAGAATTATGAAAGGCAGGAGGTAGTGGGAGCAGCTGTTGCTGCAGGCGCCGGGGTAAGTGCTTCCGAGTATGTCACCATCACGAACACAGCTGCAATTGGTGTATACCTGCAAGCAACAGGAAGTCTGTCATGCCTTCATACACTTACTTCCTGAAGTTTAAAATAACACATTAAAATAAGATTTTCTTAATTATTAAATTGGAGTCTTCGCAATTGCGTATCACTTTCGGTGTTTTTCCACCAGCATAAAGGAACTGACCTGTACCTGAGCCGAGTTTGGAAAATGACAGTGACGTAAAATCAAAGATATACTAATTTACTTACATGGTGTACATCATGGCTGGTTCTCAATGTGTGTACTTGACCGTACTCGTGTTCTTGTGTACCCGTTTTATGTCATCTTCCATTACCGAAGTTCAATTCCAATACTCAAGAACAGAAGTACAGAGGATGGTAAAAAATTTCATTCTCATTCTTGCCCCACCCCAACTATCAAGGATAAATTGGTTACATCCTCACTGAACGAGTCCAATCCCATGATTTGCGCAACCCCAAGTTCGTTCTTGGAAGGCAAGTATGATCTTTGCGTTCTTGGTACTGAGAAACACCCCAGGATTTCATTTGTGAAATTATTATTATTTTTTTACTGTTGCTGGATCACACACACGCATATGCCAGGGCTGCACCCCCCCTTTCCATCCTGCCTTACAAACCACAGACTCACCGAATACCTTAAAGAAAGTTCTCTATTAAGTTTGGCTTGTGTATATCCTGTGATATGCAACACTAAGCACCAATACTGTATACTGATGTGAGTCATTAAGATGTACAATGTAAGAACTAGTTAATTAATTAATACAGATGGTATGAGGTATGAACCTCCAGGTGGGTATGGCACGGTTGGTGTCAAACCAACAGGAAGTCAGAAATTCAGGAATATCGCTCCTGAATTCATATCTGGTGAGTGCTTATCATGAAATTGTATGCATCAAAAGTTAAACCCGTTAAATGAAAATCATTAGTAAAGTGGCATCAGTTTAGTCGTAGTTCCCAAAAGGATTGCCACAGACACCGCTCCGAAAGCCCTCTGACTAGATGGACAGCCATTGGTTCAGGTGTCGGGTTCCTAGTCATCCCTATTCATGAATTTTAGACCACAAATTCAGGCATGCACATGAAGTCCTCCAGAAAACCACCAAGAATCCCACAGAACACCACGAAGCCCAGTAGAAAAGCTCATCCTGAAACCTGCCGGTGAAGGCCTGCTACCCAATACAGAACTGCAACCCCAAGACAAAGCCTTTCACCTTAAAGCTTCAAAAAGAGTGAAAATCTAAGGGGCTCCACGCCAACAACTACTCCAAATGCCACACTTCCTTGAGTGCCACCATTCCCTCAGCTCATCACCTCTGCAACCTACTGCCAAGATCCTCTCCACTCTGCAACCAAGTAAACCAACTTCATTTTAACAATCTAACTTGTTCTGTTTAATCTGCTTTATAACATTAAGGTTGAGTTTCCACAAACTGTACTTGCTTTGCAAAACAGTATTTCCCTCTTAAGCTTACCCATTTAAATCTAGTCATTGCATTTTCATATTACATTCTGTTATTGGTGCCACTTTACAATAAGGCTACCCATATTGAGTTTTATGAATGGTTTATAATCTGGTTATTAATTAGGTTGTAAGACTTTGTAAATTATTAATAGACAATTTTAAACTAGTTATAACAGTTCTTTTTATTAATGAATTACTACATTTACAAAGTGGCAAAAGGGAGCCTTATTGTAAAGTGGTACCCTGTTATTTTGTGTTTGTTGTTTATGTTAAGTGTAATGTCTGTCATGTTAGTATACTGTTAGTTAGGAATAAATGCATGCCTCCATCCATTGAGTACTCACAATAGTCACTGCTTCTGTGCAAACTGGCTCCTAAGCTCTGAAACCTCAAGCTTGCCTGAAAATATCGTGATACTCTCTCTCACCAGCCATGAGAAGAGCTTCACTACCAATCGTTTACATTACCTGGGGCCTGTTTCACAAAGCAGGGTTTCTTGCTTAGTCGGATAACTTTTTGGATTTAAGGTAGTCAGGGCTAAATGTAAGTGTACAAAGTTAAAGTGCATCTAGCTCAGACTTCCTTAAATGAAACAAGTTATCCAGCTAAGCAAGAAATCCTGCTTTGTGAAACCGGCCCCTGGTGATGTACTGTAACTTGGTGGACGAGCATTCTAACCCAGGGTACTAAGCGAAACTGGTAATTAGTGAATTCCATTTAAGGCTCAGATTAACAGATTGACAGGGATTACACAATTGAGTTTGGAGGAACCAACCATTCGCCATGACAGTTAGTTAATAATCATCATCAAATAATAAATCATTAAAATGTAATTAATTTCCCTACACATGGGTGGAGACATTAAAATTACTTGAGCTAATTTTTCCTACACTGTGTACTTGTCAGGGTCAGCACCCGTCTGACCCTACCTTTCGTGTCTCTCCCCCTTTTGGTGTCGGTCCTTCAACCCTTGTGTTTTCCTTACTCCCTGGACTGCTGCATTGCTCAGTGGGCTGAATGGATGACTCAGAGACTGAACCTGCTGCGAGTTTTGAGACTGGCTTAAAACTAGCCTCACCTGTTTTTTTTTTGCTTATTTCAGTTTTTGTTGTTTTCTAGTGTAGTATTAGTCTTCTGTTCCCAAGTCTTAGTTCCTTCCTGTGGTTTGCCCTCCTTGTATTGTTTTGGTTTGTGTTTTGTGCCTTCATGATTTTGTAATTAATCTATCTTGCTTTAGTTTTCTAGTGTCAGATTATGTTTCCTAGTTTGTTATGTTTCTCAGTTGAGTGATTGTCTTTGTTATTAGTTCCACCTCTTGCCCGTTTTCCTGTGCCAGTACTTGTTTATTGTTTTACCTGTTGTCTCTGCTGATTGGTTATGCTTCATGTGCCACACCTGCCCCCTCGTTAGCCCGGTTGTCAGTTTGTATTTTAGTGCCTTCCTGTGTTCTTTTCCTTAGTGAGTCATTGTGAGATGGTACTCCAGGTGTTAATTACTGTGCATTGTATTCTGCCTGCTTGTTTAGTCCTTTTCCAGTGGTTGCCCGGTAGAGATGGCAATTTCGAATCATCAAAACAATTTCGAAACATTCGAAACAATGTTTCAAAACGGTTAAAAAAGTTTCGAAACGCAAGTTGTGCACAGGCTGCTGACAAAAATCCAGAACTGCAACTATAGCAAATACGGCAGAATAAAAACATATTGCTGCAAGTTTCGAATGTCACGAAGCTTGAACTGTCAAAAATGTGCATAACACAATATCATTTGTTTTTGATCGTTTTTATATTTTGTCATAGGTATCCTATATCTGCAATTAGCATGTGATAACTTTTTGCCAGCCGTTTATTCAACTAGTATGAATCATAAAAACGTTAGATTATTAATGTCTCTTGTGTATGGTTGCAAAACCTCTCTTGCACTAATAACAGAAGCAGAGAAGAGCAATATTAGCAATATTATGAACAAGTCTGCATGTCCACTTCAGTGGCCTCTATAATGGAGCATATTTAGCCACTAGCTCATTCCACCATGTTGTGCTAAAAATGCTACTGGGGATTATCGCTGCCCGAAGCTGTCAGACAACTGGTGACTGACATCACACTTTCTTCAGACGTTATACTCCCCATCCATAGCCATAATACGTCAGAAAGCATCCACTCTTGTTATAATACAATCCGGTGCCTTGTGTTCTAAATGCACCTAATTTATTTTCAGATGATTATTATTCTCATCTTTAAATATTCATGTTAAGTCTCACATTCTGCGCCTCAAGATTTAACATCCATTTGTATACTATGTATTTTTGCTCGCACCATGTGTACAGTTTTTGTACCTTGTCTGTTTGGCATTATCTATATTATTTGCATGTTTCTATGCACCAGAATTTCCCCCAGTCAATACAGTCAATCAAAACCTAAAATGGGTCTTATATCATTTATAGAGATTATTTGTTCCCATGGTTGTGTATTGTTAAAACATAATTTCTGAATTTATATACCATCCGAGTATTGAGTGTGCATAGTCATTAATTAGCTACTGAGGTTAGAATACTCATCCTATCTAGGTTTGTGTATGTTGAGCAGGTTATAGGAATGGTTTAGTTATAATTAGTTTGTATAGAATAGAACAGTGCAAAAACGCAGTTTCAGACAACAGTCTTTGTCTATGTTAGCAATGTTAATACAGTGGTACCTCAGAACTCGAATTAGTTAGGAACTCCGGATCGAATCCTAAAAAGTTTGAGTTGTGATCAAATTATCCCCATAAGAAATAATGGAAAACCAATTAATTGGTTCCTGGCCCCCCAAAAAATACACCTAAATATGTTTTTTTTAGCATTTAAACACAAAATGAACCGGATAAAACAAGAAGAGCATATACTGTACTAAACACATCGAAGCACATTTATCAAAACAGTCATTTGTAAAGTCAGAAAATAAATGTATCCAAACAATTTGTCCTGCCCCGATCGTCTGCTCCTTCCGTGTGCCACGCCCCCTCATTAACTCCGTGTGGAATCTCTGTGTGATCAGCTGTTTCTGGTTGTTGTTATTAGTCCTCTGTATTTAGTCCGCGTTTCAGTTTGTTTCCCCAGTCCGGTCATTGTATTGTCCGTCTGCGTTTTGCCTGCCTTACATAAGAACTTAAGAACATACCTGTAATTAAACCCCGTATTCCCTGATACCCTGACGTCTGCGCCTTTCTCTCCGTTCCGTCCCGCTCGGCACAACAATATTATTAGAATTAAACGTATTAATGGTTTATTATTAATATTAAAATAAATGAATAAGAAATCCTTACTTTTAAATGTATTTTGTCATATAATAATAATTACTGTTACTGTCTATCATTGTCTAAATGTATTTTTACTGTCTAAATATATGTATTCAGCTAGTGTAAACATGCACGGTGCTCTCATTTCAAAGATTTTTGCCCGTACTTGGTGGCAAACTGGCGATCCTCTGCCCATCTTTGCTCCTAAAGGAGTAGGCCTTTCCTCGATGCTGCTTTTGTACCGAATCATGATTGCGATCACCTGTTAACATCACCAGTTTCAAATCACATCATTATTTAGCTATTATACCTCATTACTACCCCTGAATTGCCCCCATCCCAACTTTATTTGGAATGTGTTGCAAGCCTGAATGGCAAGAATGGATATTTATTTACAAATCAAATGATGTTGACAAAAAAAACATGAATTATCTTGTGTTCTTACTGTCTGCAATGAAATAAAAGTTAAGGGAAATTTGTAAATCACTGCTTTATTTTTTTATTCACATTTTCCACACTGTGCCAACTTTTTCTGATTTGGGGTTGTATGTTTCTAACTGAATCTAAGCAAAACCTTGATATTACACCTACTATACACTCACCTAAAGGATTATTAGGAACACCATACTAATATGGTGTTTGACCCCCTTTCGCCTTCAGAACTGCCTTAATTCTACGTGGCATTGATTCAACAAGGTGCTGAAAGCATTCTTTAGAAATGTTGGCCCATATTGATAGGATAGCATCTTGCAGTTGATGGA